TCACCAATGAACTCCAGAAACCTTCTGGATTGCCTGTGCCCTGCTGTGTTATTCCACCAGCAGATATTAGGGTGGTTGAAGACCCACCATGAGGAGCATGGCCTGTGAAAGTGAGGTTTCCTTCAGCTGTCTGAATGCAGCCTCATCTACTTCTTCCTGATCAGGAGGTCTGTAGTGGAAACCCCCCACAACCTCAGCTGGATTGATCTGCCAACTAATCCTGACCCATAAACTCTCAGCTGGCTCCTCATCTGTCCCCAGGCAGAGGCCCAGGCATTCCTGCTGCTCTGCGTGCATGGCAGCACTTGGCCACATGAGCCATCCCAGCACATCTCTGAGATCCCAGGGAGACTGTAGTCCTACAGGGATCTGTAATTCCCCTGTTTGTTCCCCATGCTGCGTGTGAGATGCTGAAGCTTCCCTCAGCACAGTTGGATGTGACCCTACCAAGGCAAACAGGAATGTGTGAGAAGACAGGCTTTCTGCATGGATACCTTAGGCAAGAGATGTTTTTACCCCAGGCTTCATCCATCAAAATGTTTATAGACTCAATTGGTTATCGCCGCTTCCTCTAGTGTGCCTGGAGACAAGAACAGAAGATCCTTCAGCAGAGACCCTTCCTACCCAGGACTGGAGGTGAGATTATTCATTCTTTCAGTGCCCACAGCTATTCACAGGAACTCAGTTTACAACAGGCACATCATATAAATCGGGTTCGCACCTTGACTACTGTTTACATAATTTCCCATGAATTCCCACACTGGTATTACCTATTTTCATTCAGTTAAAGCATCAGACACTATGATGTGAAGTGCCTACAAAATCAAGACAGCAGAAAAGACATAACATCCATGCCAAGACCCCACACATAAACTTATTAAACATTCTCTTAAGAACATTTAGAGCTTTCCCACTACACCTCTGGGGAGTCTGTGTTGGACCTTCACTGCTCAGACACCCAAAGAACTTTCCACTTCCAGTTCCTATCTGTTGTTTTCATTGCAGGAATGTCTCCTACCTGAATCAGATCTTTTTCTCTTCGTTATTAGTCCTGAGCACATGACCTTGCAGTGATCTATTAAATTTCATCCCATTTCAACTACTCCAGACCAACAGGCTGCTCCAGTCTTCCTGTATCACATTGCGATCTTCTCTATTGATGATGCCTCTCTTAATAACATGTCAGTGTAAAGCCATTAACACATACTCTTTTTTTTTAAGCCAAGGTCATGTCTAAAGTAAGACTGGCCTCATGACTATTCCTCAGGAGTTCTGCTAGCAACATTCAACTTCTGTAGCTTCCCTAACACATTCCTGTGTGGCACCATCTCTGCAGTTCTATTGCTGTCCACGTCAATTAGAGCTGCTGTATTTCCTCTAAAACTTCAGCTACCTTCACAGTGCAAAGTATCAAATAGACATGATCCATTTTTAGCAAATTCTTATTACATTTGATATATTTACCTACAATTCTTTACTTATTTTGTCCTTCCAAGTTTGTTCTGAAACTTTGCATACTGTTGAGTTCAGACTAATCCATTTGTTCCAATAATTTCCCACTGTTTTAAATACAGATGCTGAAGAATCTGTTAATTGGTAGTCAGATGGCACCCTCTGATTTGACAGATTCATTACAAAGACTTGCAGTTTCTTCTACCAGAGTTTTAATATTCTGCGATACAGATTATCTGGCCTTCCAAGTTGAGCACATCATGCTCTTTGATCTGATTTTCCTCCTATTTTTAATAAATCTTGTTTTCAAGAAAAGTTTGTTTGTGTGGGTGTTTCAGCCAGCCCTTAAGGACAGGATGTCTTTCAACCTTGGAAGAGAGCCAGCACCAAGACTCTCACAGCCAAAATATTCCAGGAAGACACCAGAGAATCACAATGAGCAACTTGGAAAGATGTTGTTACTGGAATCATCTCTGTCATCAAATAGTACAAGTGTGGGTACTGTGATGGCAAGGGTAGGAGCTCGGCAAAGCTGAAGCTACAAGACAGGTACAACACTGATGTTAGGGGAGCAGGAAGCTGCACTGGTCAGGCTCTGACAGTGTGAGAGTGAGATTCTTTCCTTGGGAATGAATAACTGGGTGGCTTCCTGTTGTCCTCTCTTATAAAATTAGTCATTCATTAAAATCTCAATTTTCAGAGTGAGTTGAAAAACTTCCGAATTTCCAGGTGAGACATGGATGCTGTTTTCTTTATTTTGCTTACTATAATGTCAGGAAGTAACACTGGCTGGTCAATACAGTTGAGAAGGAATTGGTCCCAGGACAGCAGCCCTTCCCAACATAACAGTGATCCTGCTTCTATAATCCAATAAGGGCTTCTCAACTGTTTCAATATCCCTTAATTGATTCCCACAAATCTAATTCCCCAACATATTATTGCTCAACATACTTGACTATAATTATTTCTGGTTCCAATCAAGGACCAGTAATGAACTATATGTGTAAAAGCCACCTAAATGATCATATCAAGTGTTTATCTTGGAGAATGTGTGTATGAGCTGATATTAGACAGCAAATTTGGTGGTTGGAAGGGAAGCTCTATTTCATGTGAGCTGAGGAGCTGTTCAGCAAAATAGAGAAGTGAAGCTAACAGTTGTTTTTTGCCTGCTCAAAAGCAAATGGGAAGCCTGAGTATAACTGTTGTGTGGGTGGGATACAGCCTCCAAATCATGAGTTTGATTAACCTAGGTAAAATTATCCTGACTGTCTCTTGTGATCTGCTCTAACCTCTCCTTTGTTATTAATGCAACGATCCACAAATCCCGGGACACTTTTGTAAGTTGAGTTGCCTGTGTCATTCCAGATCCTGCACAACTGACCTACAAACACTCCTGAAACCATTTGCAAGGTCTTTGCCATCAAAAGCCTTGCAGGAAAGACCTTGCCAAATAAACTACCATACGGCAAATATTTTATATGATCCACTTATGACTGAAATGACAGAAGAATCCTTTGGGGGAATCTTGCTGTGATGAATTTGGATACTGATTTTACCAGTGTCTGGAGAGGTCAGAGTTTCAGCCTTGTGAAAATGGTTTGTCCAACCTTGTAAAAAGTAGTTTTTCTAGAGGGTGATTTCATTTCAGGTAGAAGTCCGCTGATCATAAAAGAGTTTTGTTTGCCTAGGGGCGTCTTGTCTGTCAATGCAGGGGACACATGTCTAGCCCCTCCGTCTTTCTCAGTTTGCATGAAGCTCTAACCCCCTTGGAGGGAGATGGAAACACAAAGTGAGATAGAGAGACAGCTTCTAGAGCTTGGTCAGTCTGAGTGATAATTAAGTTCCATTGCTTTGTTGTCACTCCACATGCCTAACCAAGACACCAAATACAGAAACTGCAGAGAAATGGTACTGCCTGCCTCAATCACCTGCTGGATGTTTCCAAGTCTGTCCCAAGAGCAAAGCGCCATCAAGGCACGACTCCAGCTCCTAATGGGGCCCTCTCTGCCTGGATTGCTCAGAAGGTCTATGACTATAAAAACAAAGGAAGAAAGATCTCTGTTCTCTGTGTTGAATCAGTCGTGACTATGTTACTTTATTCCAAACCAAGCACAACACAGAACTAGAATATTTACATGTATAAAGTTTCATCAGTTTTGTGACTACACCAGAGAAAATCCCAGATGACTGACTGGCCCTGAGGAGACCCAGCACTGGCACCAGGCAGCCTGCCCTGATGGCCACTGCTGTGGCCGCTGAGTTTGCCCCGTGCAGATTGCATCAAAACCTGATAGCAGCCAGCTGAATTAAACTCCTCTCTAAGCTCTCAGGGAACCTGTCTGCTCTGTGCCACCAGATAGTTACACTTGGAGGGTGTTGCTGGAAAACCGGTTAGCCCAACCATCAAAATCATTTTTTCATATAAATCTAATTTCTGAAGCTCTTCTGGTTTAACCTTCAGTGTCAGTTGAGACCTTTTACTGATTGTTATGACCAGCAGAGAAGATGTGAATGGTTGAAATAAAAATACTTCAGGCCCACAGTACTCATCAGCTAGCACTGAAGCAACAGACATGGAAGCTGATATTTATAACAGATCCTTTACAGGATCTAACCAACATTGTAGAAAAGAACCCTTGTATTACTGATGGAGTATGTCTCAAAAAGCTACATATTTTCTTATTCACCATCTCAAAGGCAGACGCCAGTATTGCAGCAATCTGTATTAAAAGCTCTTGAAAAGTTCAGTACTGTCTACCTTAGAGGGAGCTTGCAAAAAAGCAAAAATTAATATCAAAATATCAATGGCATTTAATTTAAATCCCAAATCAGGCTTGTAGGCTCAGATCATGACTCAAAGCTTTGTCTTGATCTAATTTTATCCAAACAATTCAATGATAATAAACGTTTTTAATATCCACATCAGGGAAATCAGAGGGGCTCCCAAGACCTGTAATGGGAGCTGCCATCACTGACTCTGCATGTTAGTAAACTCAAGCACTCACTGAATAAGTGGCTCCAGAACACTTGACAAAGTCAGAGCTCCCTTTGCACCCTAAAAGGCTCTGAAACATTTTCCGAATTGTGATAAGAACTTCAAATATTTACCTGCTTTGGGATGCATAAAGGAATCGGCACCACTGCAGATAACCCCTGCCTTTCATACAGTGGTGTGCATGTTCTCATTGCTCATTTAGATACATGGTAAGTTTTGAGTGGCAGTAAGAGAATTAGTCTAACAGCTCTTAAGAACAAAGCTCTTTATTCGTGAGGCAAATAAAATCACAGGAAAGTGTAGAACAACCTCCCCTCGGAGGACTCTCTATAACTACACACTCTACACAAGGCTCAATGAGCAAGAAAACCAAAACGAGAATCCCCAATAAAAGCAATAGATAGCAGCAAGAAACAGTTAGAAGGTGGCTGCTTTGGACACACGGACGGCACCTTGTCCCACCTCCCACCAGATAAGAATGACAGACAGCCCTCGCTGAGGTGATCAGCAACATCACCTGGGAGAACGGCAGGAACGTTTCCAAAGACTGTACCTGAAGAATGACCCAGTGACCTTCCTTTGCAGCCAGATCTAGAGCTTGTTCAGCAACTACCTCTTGACCTTGTCCAAGGGAAACATTGTGGAAATTCCTGTTGTTAAATGTATAACCAAGTTTCTTCCCTAAAAGAAAAAAAAAGAGTAACGTTCAGCACTTTTTCCTGAAATGGCACGCAGCACAGCTGAGCTCACACAGCAGCCGCAAGGCAGAGTTCAGTCTTATCAAAAACCCTCACAGAAAAGCTATCGCACTTCTCATAATAGTTATCTTGTCTCTCACACGCTCCTTGCCAAAGCACTGAAAACAGCAGTGGCTTCTTCCAAACTACTTTTAATTACAGAGCGGCATCAACACAAAGGTACATTATTACAAAGTGCTTCTTGTTTAATGTACATTATTCCCCTGCAACCTTGTGTAAAAACATATTTTACAGTGATAGGGAATTAAAATAATTTCCTGCTGATTAAATAGGCTTTGAACAAGACATCGTTTGGTGGGAAAATGCACCTTGTGATGCGTGCTAGAACCAGCAGTAAAGTTAGGAACCCATTAATTTTTGAGAAGGCAACTGAAATGAAATCTGTGTGAGCTTCCTGTGGCCTCAACCAAGGCCTCCCAGGTTTCTTGGGCCTAGAGAACCAGTCAGCCCTCCATATTTCTCATGGATCATCATGGCCTTTGGCAGGGGTGGAGTTGCCTCTGGGTGCACCGTGACATACGTGAGAAGGCCCACGGTCAGGGGGCTGCAGTGGAGCCCATGGAGAGGGGTGCTCCAGGACCCACTGCAGGCCACCTCCCACAGTCCCTTCCACATCCTCCTCTGCACGGTGCAGGGTGGGAACCCCAAAATCCATGCCATTATTATCCTGCTCTGGAGGAAGGATGGCAGCTATTTAATGCTTCTTCATTTAGTCCATGATATTCTTTCAGACTCCCCTGATTTCTCTGTAGCATTCCAGTGCCTCAGATCCTTTCAGTGATGATAGCTAAAGATCTCCTGTTTAGTTTTCAGAATCTGTCATCCAAAGACCGATTACACCAGTTGTTCCTTGTCTCACAGGAGAAGCAACTGCCTGGAGCAAGCTATCTCCACAGATGATGAGCACTGATTTGTGCTGCTGGGGGGGAAGCAGCTCAACAACCAACCACACCGGCTCCATGCATCATAGTAGGATGCATTTAGCTCAGATAGGGAGTCAGTACACATGTCCCCAGATCCCTCCATGCTGATCCCTTGGGACTGCCTACACTTATCTCTACATGCAGATTTGCCTTCATGTAGATGGTCCACCTTTAATTCTCGATTTCTGCTAAAAGCAGGAAAGTTTCATACTAAAACAAGGAAAAGATTTGTCTTGCAACATTTAGGATTCATCTCTTGGTACAAGACTGGAAACAGATGGCCAAAATAAAACAAATATCCAAACTGTTTCAGTTGCTCAAGCTCTCTGCTTAGCCTTACTACAGCAACCCCCTGGGCTACAGCTCTCCCCATATTTGAGAGTTTCCTGTTTTCTTTTTCACCATCTCTGGTGGCTGCCAACTTTGAGAGCTGTTAATCTCCTCTGCCTTCAAGACCCACACTCTCAAGAAAAGATGGAGCAAATTTACAGAAGTCAGGGAGCTACCCCAAAACAGGTGATTAATAATAAAATTAATATCAGTTGTTATTTCAACTTCATGGATAGGAACAGGACTGCAGAGGGATAGACAGTGAGCCTGTGCTGGCTGCCTCACCAAAACCAATGCCAGCCTTCCTCCTTCCTTGCTGCCTTGGAGAGGAGAGGGGACGGCGCAGTCAGGCTACCGCAGGGAGGTGGGGAAACTTGCTGAGCCCAACAGTGTTCGCTGCAGGGTCCTGCCCATGTTGCCAAGGAAAGGTCCCACGAGTAGGCATCTGGAAGAAGCTATCTTCCATTCAGAAGAATTATCTAGCCAGACTGGTACTTTAATAAAACTTAATAAAGGGCAGAGAAAATATTGAATAATGAATCCAGTCCAGACCCCAGCGAAGCAGGCTTTAAGACCAGTGCAGCTGCACTGAAGCAATGGTTTTATTTCATTAGATTTTTTTAATTTTTACTTGCTGTAACTTTTCTGGTTGACTGAAGCTAGGTGCTCAACTACACTCATCTTTACAATTCCAATTAAACCATTCGTGGTTGGATTTTAGCGCTTCATTTCCCATACAAGAAAATAACAGTGAGAGACAGGATCACCGACATGGCTTCAAAGGGAAGCCAGGCACATGACAGAACCTTCCTCAGGGGGGTCTCCTTCAATTCACAATAATGAGTCCTGGTATCAGGGCAGAAAGAGCACGAAACACAATGCAAAGCCCAGGAACTCCCCATGACTGAGAACTGTGATCTGGCCTGTGGCTCAGGCTGCACTGGGCTTTAACATCTCTGAAAGCTGCTTGTGGGAATGTGGGTAAAGACTGACGGCAATATTATTTTGGGATGACCCAGAAGGTGCATCATAGAGAGGAAAAAACATCCACAGGTGAGTGCTCTTCCACCACTCACCTAGATGACAGCTTAGTTCAGTGTTACTTGTTTCTCTGCTGGGGCTGCCAGGCTTGCTGATGTTTAGTCTGGAGACTAGATCTGCCTAGTAAAAAAGAGCCAGCAGCTCTACTATGGTAGTCTGATATGTAACTCATACAGTTTAAATATACTATACTTCACGCTGCCAGGAGCATCAGGGCTTGACCAGAAGTCATGGTCTTGGAGATATATGAAGCACATTTCTGGAGAAGGTGAAAGACATCTGATGAGTAGAATGGCAATGTGGAGCAGCCCTAAAGCAGTACCCAAAGGCATCTGACCCCTCTGCTCCAGAGGGGTGGAACCCCTCTACTGTAACAGTCTCGAAAGAAGAGACCACAGTTACCTCTGTTTGACAGTCAGAAGCGACCCCATTTCCAGACCTATTGTAATTGCCATGTTCCAGCTGACAATTGTAGTTCTTCCACAGTGGAGCTGAGAACCAGAGCAAATTCTGCACATTGGCAGCTTTTAAAGCACAGGCACTGCCTACAGCAGTCGGTGCACAATGGAAATCACTGTCTTCTCAAATACAGCACTTTAAAGAAGCCCCTTCGGTTTTGAAGCCAGCTGACAGCACTACACTTGACCATCTGCATCAAAATCAACTCAGGAAGGATTGGATTAAAAACTGGAAACTCTACCACTAACCAGCAGACTGATAGAGGGAGCTGCGCTTATTTTTAGTTATCATAGAATCATAGAATACCAAACTGGAAGAGACCTCAAGGATCATCCGGTACAACCTTTCTTGGCAAAAAGCAAGCTATCTGACAGCATATTAGATATCTCTGACACAAATTGCAGGTTGTGTACAAGACCAACTCAGAAATCGTTGCAGTGTGAACCACATTGGGAATCCAGGCAATGCAGCAAAGAGACAAGTTTAATTTAAACTTTAGATGAAAATCAAAAAACCTCTAAGAAAGAAAAAAAAGAAAACAAAACAAAACCAATCACATCTTCTCACAAGTATCTATTTTTAACAGATTACTCCATTATCTACAAAGAGATGAAGGAAAAAAAAAAAAAAAGAAAAAAAACAGAACAAGAATATCATGCCAAGATAATTATGAAGAAGATAAAACGCAATGCTGTGGTATGCCTAGAGACACGATTTATTTACCTTGTTTTTCCACATCCTTCAGTGGGTCGACTCCTGGGGACAGGATAAAAAACACTGGGGTTGCAGGTCCTGATTCCTCAAAGGTTGTTGCAAAATCCAGGGATCTCCCTACCACATATTTACTGCCAAGCTTTTCTTCTATAAAATCTCTGTCAGAAAGAAAAAAGTTTTGCCAGTCTACTACCATTCATAAGATTCTCCTGCAAATAATCGATTAATTAGTTTAGATTTTGCTGATTCAAACAAATTAGAAACTAAATCAAAAAAATGTTCATAAAATAATCTTAGAGAGGATCTGTAGGCTGGGATTTTTGAGTTATCACTCGGTAGCAATGGCTGGCGCTTTTTACAGAGGTAAAATGACACATGGCATACCAATATCTGACAAATAAAAGGAAGTCAGAAGGGAAAACAGTGGGTCCTACCAGCCCAATGCTGTATTCAGAAGTTCAATACAAGGACTGGCTTGATTCTGGGAAAAGGTATCTCAGGAGAGAAGACATAAGTTAATGTACAGAAAACTGCCATGTACTTTGTAATCCATACAGCCTTTGAGAGGAAACAGCATTCCTTTAGATTTATCACCAAAAGTCACAAAAAGTCCAGATGATTTACAAAATTACTTTGTTCTGGAAAGATAAAAGGGAAGAGCTCTAAGAATATCTAGCACATGTAGCTTAGCCTCTGCATGAGAGTCACAGGGAAAAATACAACTGAATGAACAGGAAAAAAATCAGCTCCACAGCAGCTGCCTGAACAGAATATAGCACATGGAGAACATTCAGGCTGAATTTCCCTAGGGTAAGCTTCCAAAATCACTGCATTAGAAAAAGAGGATACAGTGAACGTTGATTCAAAGGTAGGAATTTTATATTAAAACCCCAGGAATGAGTAGTTACTCTTCAAGCATAGATGCATGACTCAGGCCTTCTGAAAACCTCAGTACCACAGGGAAGAAAAATATTGGCCAGTTTTCACTTGGTTGATGATACCAGAATAAGGAAGTCAAATTCTTTCTAAGAGACTCGAGGGTCTCTTTCATGGACTAGTGAAAGGCAGTTGGAGTAGAATCTCCTAAGGGATTGCAAAAGAAAAAGCTTCCACACTGTTACCTCTTTCAAGTGGATTTTTCTGTTCTGGGTCAAGATGCGCTAAAGAGCTGCTGGAAATCTTCAGTCCTTCAGATACAAGGTCACAACATTATTGTTTTACATCAAGTCTCAACTCTATGAAATGATGCCTTGGAGATTCAGAAACACAATTATTGTGACTTGGAGACTCTGAAATGGACCACATGTGCAGGGAAGGAAGGCCTGCCCTCAGAGACAGGACTGGAACAGTGCCTATGCTTGGTGTCTTTAAAACAAGGTATTCATAGGGGTGGTTCACAGTATTAAGCAGTAGTATCTGAGAAATGGTACCAGAACAAAAAGCAAAATTACCATGCAAGACAAACGTCTGGCTTACAGCTTTTCTAGGTTATATGAAGCCACAGCTGCCTAAGATCCTTTATCTGAAGAGTCCATATAAATGTCATAAACATGGCTGGAGTAGTGCAGGTCCGCAGTCCTTCTGCACTGTTTTCAAAGTCTGTCCCCCAAGGCAGAAGTACCTGTGTTTTTGGAAGAACTTCACTATGACCAAGTTATACCTTGCTAGTAGCTGCTGGACTGATCTGACCTCATCATGGATGTGGAAGCATGGGAGCACAAGGTGTTGCAAGAAGCTCCTTGCTGATGTTCTTCATTAAGACTGAATGATGAAATAGGTATTTACACTGTAAAACCCCTCCTGAGGAAATTATGGTTCTTGGTGATGGACAACAGAACAGTGCCCCCACCTAAGCTCTAAGGAGTGAGTCAGGATAACAGTGGTTTCTCCTGATGGCTCCTCAGGCCCAGGGAATAAAACAGCCTGTGCAAATATCCCCCAGGGATCTGCTATGAAGAATAGCTGAAAAACCTAACTTCCAAGACAGGGAAATGCAAGAAGCCAGTACAGGGGTTGATCATTTTAGATGCCAAAGAACTTCCTAGACCATCTTCATGGAGCTGGCACATATGACATTGGACATAAAGGGTCTTACACCTTTCTGAACAGCAGTTGGAAATGAGGTAGGGATATTCTAGGACATCTAAAATACCACTAGTCAACCAGTGTTTAGGCTATCAAGTCACTCCTTGACTCCTAAAATGCACTCAAGTATTTGTCAAGATTCTCAGAGAGATAGAAAGTTTAGGACTAGTAGCGATGTCCACTGATCATCGGTAAGGTATTCAATGTTAGCAGATTTAACTGATATACAGGGGAAGAGATCTGCAAGTTGAGAACTGCAAAATAACTTGTGGGATCCAATGACACTGCAGGTACCTAAAACTCGAATTTGTTAGCACGTACATGAACTTGTAACACTACTGGCTAAAGCAGGGATGTTGCGGCTGAAGTCCTCGTGGTTAGAGTGTGCAGCTCCCCAGTGCTCCACAAGATCCCCTACTTTTTTAAGGGTCACAGACACCACATAAGTTTGACCGTGCTGAGAAAAACAAGACACAAGATGCCCATCAGCCGCCTGTGCGGTGGCTGTCAGGAATGCCGACTATATGAAGATCAATCCAAAGACTACTGACTTCACTGACTGACATGAGAAAAACCGATGAACAGATTCGCGTGTTTTCTAGAGGTGGATCTCTTAGGAACAAATTTCTTCATTAAAGGAACAGTATCTGTCTTAGCCAGGCTGATGTCTGAAGAAATGTTGAGGAATATGATACTATCAAGAAGGAACCAGGAAGTCAAACACATTTTGACTGTCATTGTTACCACGAATAATTTCACATTTGCTTTTGGGGTATAAGATTTCCCTAAACAAAAGCTCTTCTTAAATCTTTTGGGCCTAGTGTCTGACTATCCTATATTTCAAGAAGAATTTTAGTCACAAATATATCTACAAAGAAAGTACTGGGGAAGGTTCTGTGAACTGTTACTGTTTTCACATGTTTATGTTATAACCTACTTTTAGATAAGAAACGAAACAAAAAAACATTTAAATACTTTTGTGCAAACAGAAAAACTTGACTTGCCTAGACCCTAAAAATATCCAGACAAGCTTTTGAACTTGGATTCCCTTACTTTTTCATACAAGAGAAATTTGAAAGGTGTTCAAACTTTATGTTCCAGTTATTTTTGAGCTACGTGAGTACTGCCGTTTTGATTGAAATAAATTAATTAAACTTGCTTAAATGAACTACGCACTTAAAAGTTCAGAAAGACAAGAGCTTACTTTACTCAAACTAAACAACAACAGGTAAAACAACCTTCTCAGCTGAGAGAACACATGGAGAATCAAGCCCTAAAAAAGTAAGAAATTAAAAAGAATATAGTTTGGAATGGTATGATTATGATAAATTTTAATATTTAATTTAATAAAACATAATAAGATTGACCATAGAGAGACTTCATTCAGTCTTGTCTGCATTTTTCTGCAAATTTTAAAGCACAAACAGAAATCTAGTTCATACACTGACTAATACAATCTGCTACATGCACCCATATACACGCACATGCCAGATGGTGGAGCAATATAAACTATTTTAGAGGCAGTAGCATGAGAGACATTGCAGAAATGTCAAGTCATGGACTACTAGGACAAAGAAGGAAAAAACAAGTCCTAATGGAGTGAAAGACCTTTAGTTTCCCCTGAAAGAAGCATACTGCTTTTGCATACCTTCATAAAGTTTAGACTCACCTAGTCACCTTCACTACATAATTTACAACTACAACTTTCAGAACTAGCATCACATAAATTTTGCATTTTACGGAAAAAAAAAAAAAAAGAAAAAAAGAAAACTTTTATAAGACCTTCCTTTGCTTCTATACTTTATGTTTGTGCCTAAGGAACAGCCATAAAGGTTCTAGTAACTAAAATCTACCTTAATGAACTCTAGAAGATCTATTGATCATTAAAAGACTCTAGCAGATGTATAACATCTGTATGAAGATGCTAATTTCTGACTTGGTACGTCTGCTCCTCGCCCAGTGTTAGTTCTACTGCTCCATCACTATTGGTGATACTGGGGTTAGATCTCCCTAAACAATAAATTCCAGTTAAATGAAATGTGTTGACACTCTTGCAGAGTTCAGAGATGACACATTCAGAAGACTTCTTTATAGGAAACCATTCTGCAGAACTCACATCCTATACATTCTATACTTTCCATACATAAACACACATTCTATACATAAATACTCACATTCTATACATAAACATATTCCTGAATTACTCCTGTTCTCTAGAAAACACGGACCCAAAGTTGCCTGCTAAGCAAGATCATTACAGAGAGAGTAAAGACGTGCCCCTGCCTGACAGCGTAGGTCATGCGATCGGGTCGGATGGCTCTCATTATGCACAGGCGCTGCAGAGCCGACTTGTTCTTCCATTCCTGAGGGAACTTCTCCTTTTCAGGACACTCAGATTCAACAAATTTCTTCCACCGTTTTGCAGAGCCCTCAATATCTCGATCCAGGTTTCTGAATTCCTCCATGGATGAGAGAGCCTGGAAAAATTCAAGGAAGGTCTTCAGAAGAACAGTCCCACATGCCTCTGAACTACTTTTCTAACATTACTGACTGCTCGTGTTTTGCTTCCCCAGAAGGGCCATAGCTGGAGCCTGGGACCCACAGCCAGAAACCCACCAGGATGACACTCTGTCCATTCGCTTTTTCCCAACTCTGTTGTCAGCACATTGTCACAGGAACAGGAATCAACATGGCCCATCTGCAAGGCCACAGGAAAGTATGACTGAAGACAGTTTCATACTTGTGGAAGGTCTTCTGAACTGAAATGTGCCTCAAGGCTGCCCACAGAACATCAGCTCTAAAATCATGCTGCATCTAACACAGCAGCATTACACAGATGTTCTCACCCACATCACTGCAGCGTCCTTCCCCAGCCAGTGAAGCCACACACGGCGCCCAGGCCGTCTCCCCTACAGCACAGTTGCTAAGATATGGGAGTTTGGAAGTGACAATACAGGAAAGGATGAAAGAATTTGGCATCATTCCCAATGCAGTTCTCCATAACTCAAAGCAAGAAGAAAGCTGCTCTCCTATTTTGAAACCAGAACTGAAAAATCTCAGGTGACAAGCACTTGCTAGTGCCAGTTATCCCAGAAATGCCTGATTTGGATGGCAGATGAAAATTTTGAGCCCATGTCTGACAGAAGAGCACATTGCTGGCATTCCGTAAGCTGCAAATCTGTAAACAGTCTCCCTACTGCTTCAACAGACACAAAGAGAATTGTGCATCAAAAATCACAACTGATAGAAAAATGTGCTTTTGTATCCAGGGTGCTCAGTATCCAAAGCTAAACAGAGACTCAGGCATGCCATGCCCACCAAAACTGTTTTTTTTTAAGGGATTTCACAGTTGGAACATACATTATCTTTATACACATGCAGTTATTCTCCTCTCCCTGCTCCCCTGAGCACAAATCTCTCTGTACAGTCTGGTGCACACACTCTGTGAAACCACAACACTGAGACTTTACCATGCAGTTGCAGTGACCACAAATCTCAATAAACATAGGGCAAATTGTAAATGGGTAGGTGCTTTCTCTGTACAAGCATGCATACCATACTGTGCCATTGTAAAAACCAAATCACTCAGATTTATACTTGCAAATGCACACAAAGATTAACGTCTCAGTGCCACAAGTCTGTAGCAGAAACCAGGTAGCTGAAGAATTCCCCAAAGAACAGTTGAACAAGACAGTAAATATGTGATAATTACAATGAAAATGTAGCTAGATTTCATAGCTAGAAAGTGGCAACTATAAATGTTATGCAGAGAAGTAAAGAAAACAAATTATCTTCCATACAAGTGGTGGCAAAATGTATTGCACAGCTTGTAAAGTTCTTCTGGATTTCAAGCAAAATTCTCACTGAAACTAACATCTTCAGAGTGTTTTGCATAATTTGAAGCTGTAAGCAGTTGAACATGAAGTGGAAAAGACAAGTGAAGTATAAAAGACAGTGAATGAGCTCTTTTCTATAGAAACAGAAGGACACACTCAGAGCGAAGCAGAAGTTTCTTGATGGGCAGAGGTGTTCTGCACCATTAATGTTCGAGCTCAACTTCAATGTTTCCATACAACTTCCACTATGGGAAGCGGCTGAGAAATCTCCTTGAAAAATGTTGGTGTCACACCTTGTTCAGATCAACTGAAAAAATATGCACTTGCCAAAGGGCTTTGAAAGTCGTGTAAATGCCCTGACAGAAGTGCTGTGAGATTGCCTTGGATACGATGTTGTTGCAAACAAGGCAGAAGACAGTGAAGGCCACTCTGCTCTAATATCTGCAGGAAAGACACGCTTTCCCTCTGGAAAGGGTTCCCAATGAGAAGACAAGAGCAATGTAAAACTTTGGTCTTTCTAGTATTCTGAATTTAGTTAGAAGCTGTACAGCAATGCAGAGAGTGAACAAAGGGAAGGAAGGTGACAGAAAAAGGGGCTTCTTATAACAAATGAGTTCACATTTTTAGCAGTGGGAATTCTTGTAAATGACAGGGAGAAAGAGGTTATAAATTTGTTCCCAGTGGGTGCCACTGACCCAGGACATTTGTTGACTATACACTCACAGAATCACCTCTGGAGGTGTCTAGTCCAACCTCATGCTCAGGCTAGGACTACAGCCAGCACTGCTCCAGGTCAGCCATAGTTTGTCTACCAAAATTCTGACCTCTAAAACGAAGCACTCTCAGGGTTTCTGGGTGTCCTGTTGTAGAGCTGTACTATCCTTCTGGTAAAGAAGATTTTTTTGAAAATACGTTCAAGCTGAACCTCCCTACCTGCAATTTGTCATGGTTGACTCTTATTAGATTCACTGCCAATAATGAGGAGAGTTTTCCTCTGTCATCTCATAGATGGACAAATCCCTCCACCTTTTCCCACGTCACGTGCTCTAGGGCCAGAATTAGAGCTATAGGCAGAGAAGTACTTGTAGATGTTACTATAAGTAATTCTGCAACAAATCAAGCCTTGCTCAAATTCACAATTTCATCAATATCTCCACAAAAGGCACAGGTAAGAGCAGAGTGCTTGCAATATCACTTGAGAGCTACAGCATGGACTGACTCAATTTGGCACTGACTATTTCCATGCCAAACTCCCAGGGATCCTGAGAATTTCATGAAGAAGAGAGCAAGTGATGTAGTGATTCAGTAGTTGTTGTTTCCATGTGTGGATTAGCACTAACATGGAGAAATGTCAGTGACAGAAGTACTTGCTCCAAATTCAGTGCCATATCCCGCTTTTGTGTAAAACCAGACACCAGAACACAGAACATGAGAAACTGAAATTTACAGGAACAACGCCATATATTCTGAGCTGCCAAAACCTTGTCCTCGAAGCAATAAATATATTTGATGCACTTCTCATAGCTGAACACAATACAATGGCAAACGTTGAGTTCAGTGGATTCATCAGTGCAAATGCTTATATAAAACATCTTAACACTGTTGACTTTCGAAGTGACTTACTTAAAATACCACTTCAGAACTTTGGCTGCTGCTGCTGCAAGAAGTCTCTTGACTTGGCTGACAAGGGAGTCTCTGAAAAACTGCTTTCTTCTTACTAAATGACAGACGTGTAATCAGAGATGATACTCTCTCTCTCCTTGAACAACACGTTGCAGAATCAAGAAGGCTCTAATTGCAAGTATAAAGTCTGTATTATATAAATTAACACTAAAATTTTCATTAGTCAACAATTTTAATTGCATTTATTAGGAGTGATGGTATTAATAAGAGATCTTGCTATTTAAAAGCTGGTGCAGTGAAAGCTATCGCAATCAGTAATCTTTCTGTGAATATTAATTGCTTTTCAATACCTCTGCTGTGAAATTTTCCAAGAAACTTAGATCAACAATAATGTATCACTGTTTCCAAGCAGCAGGAGTAAGAGCAGGAATGGTACATTGGGAGAGCAGATGGGTAATACATATCAACCTGTGTAGCGCGGCTATTTTTGTCAACATAATGAAAAATACATTTGTCAATTAGAGTTGTCATGGAAATTGAGACAAAAAACACTGATCAAAGTAAAATATGATCAAAAGGGCCGGAGCGTTCCAGTTCCTGCCTTTGCAACCCACACTCTAAGCATCTCTGATGACTGGAAACAGCAGGGCCTTGAGTTTATATCTCAAAATAAGACTTTGACAGCAAAACAGGACTCTTCACACCATGTAAAGGCAAGGATCATTGTTTTCTTGGGGAAAATGATTTTTCCTTCACTGAATCACAGACAACTTGCTTTAGCACTTCTGTTTTCTTTGACAGCTTCTTGTCTAAGTCAGAAGGAGCTCTAACCTGGAGCTGGTGTGTCGGCAGATCTGTGAATTTCACACTTTCACAAATGCAAAGCACTCTCTTTCCCCTCACAGCTGCAGGAAATACAACGCGTATCAGCCGCTGGCTTCGAGAAACAAATCCTAGCTGTCATTGCAGAGCAACTGCTGGTGTGCTTACAAGGTGTCCTTAACTCACGGCCCTTCAGAGAGCCGACGAAGGACCGGAGGGGAAAGGGGATCTTTGCAGAGACAATGTCTCAGGGGGACGGGGAGAAGTCCCGGGCAGATGGGCACAATGAGGAGATGATACACGCGGTTTCCCCTCACTGTTTGCTGCCTCCAGAGGACGAGCTGAGTCTTTAGTGAAAAGAACAATTTCAAAGGCCTGGTGTCATTGCTACCGAGTGCAATTTATGTCCTAGTGACAGATACACTACAACAAGATTTTGTAAATTTATTAGAGAAAACACTTGCTCTTATCGCTAAAGGCAGTTATTCTAAGGACACCATCTGGTCAAAACTGGCCGCAAGTTTAGGATTTGCTTCATAAATTTTTATAAAAATCTAAAAAAAAGAGATTATCTTCATGTTTTTTTCCCCTCAGCTCTAAAGAAGATTATTCCTTTAAAAAAAGATTGGTTTGTATTTTAAACTATTTCCATAAATTAAAATACCTTGCCCCAGCATCATCAGACTTGAGAACAGCTCTGGGGCAAAGGAAGTCAAAACAGCACCTCACTACCATGCTCTGTACTGACATAAATAGTGTGAAAAATAATACAGTGCAAGTAAAACCAGTGCTGCCAGAGTGAGCTCCTAACACCTATTTACCAAGTTCCACAGCAGCCATGAGACCATTTTTAAATAAGACATAATGCAATCATAATACAAAAATGTGAGGTTTTTTTTTAAAAAGCCATCCCTACTTTTTGAGTCTTCAGTTTATAGCTGATTCATACTTTCAGTCTTAGTCCCTTATATACCTTGTTTTTTTAAAAAACCCCAACCTCTACCTAAAAAAAAAAACTTAGGTCTATAAGGAACACACTGAACATCAAATGTCTATAAAATTACACAACTTGGTATCACTGGAAAGAAATTATATTTAATATTCTCACAGTTTTAATAATCTGTGAGATGATTAAATCCTAATGATTAATCATTATTTCACTTGCAATAATAAGGAGATGTGGTTTTATGAATTAC